CCCCAAAACCCCAAAACCCCAAAACCCCAAAACCCCGTGATAGTAAAATCTTTCGATGAATAATTTATAAAATGAAAAATATATTTAAAGGCTTTGACTCATAAATTTAAAATGCTCGTAAATTAATTACAGATGCGAAGAAACTCTAATGCAAATGAGCAATTGGAATCCTCCATTAATAACTAGAGTGATATCTCTCGCCAGTCAATGAGCATGAGCTCTACTCTCTAGAAATATGTTACCAAGAGGGAAATGATCTTTCTAAACAAGACTTCTGAAGTAAGCTTTTAATAGAATAAACTTATAGATTAGTAATTCCCAGGGCGAGTTAAACTAATCTCAGATTTCCGGATTAAACGATTCCAGAGATATGAGCGATACATCTTCAATAGGTGGAAATAGAAGTAAATTGCTTATTTAGAAGGATAAAACTAGCAATCAAATTTGGGTTCAGAGAATTCCAAAGCTTGCAAATTCTATGGATTTACCTCCTCCTACTAATGGATAAAAAAGAAAAGTGAGGGCAAAACCAAAAACTAAATAGAAGACAAGTTTTGCAGATTCCTCAACAAGTAATGCAGAGTAATCTAGTATAAATGACATGTCTTAGACTTAGATCTAGATTGAAATTCCAAATAATAGCTAAAATGATGATAATGAATAGCCTAGAGCTCGACTTGAGAGTATAGCTGAGGATACTATTAATGAGACAGAGGAGGATCAATAGAAGAAATCTTCATTTATTAACTCCAAATAAAATGAGACACCTTTAAAAAATGCAAGTGTATACACTGCAAAGTTTGGGAATTCTTTACACGCATCTTAAATCACTCCAGACTCTTAGAATAATAGTTATGTGTAACCATAGGGTAATAATTAGCCAGTGATTCAAGCCACATATATCACATATAACAATACTATTTAGAATTATGAATTTAAAGATTTTAAGTATGTGGGGGTAGAAAACAACTTTAACAATTCAACTCAAAATGTTTATAATACTAATTCTCAATATTACAATCAAAATGCAAAAAAGAGGAAAAATCCACAAGATATGTACCCTAAAGACTCAATTGATTATCTTACACATAATCTGGATAAGCAAAGTCTTATCCATACTATCAGTAATGCTGATTAGGATGTCATAAACTAAATACTTCTCAAGCAGCATCAATAAATAGCTTCTTAATAAGATGATATGATTATATTGGAGTAGCCTAGTTCTGAATTTCAATCAGTAGACCTGTTTAACAATAGTATTTAAATATCAAGGACTGGCTCAATACCGAATCTCAACTCGATTCAATCTTTTAAGAAGCTAGATTCTCCAGAAAGTTTCATGAAAATACCTTAAAATTAGCAAAGTAACTATCAATCAAATGGAGCAGTAAACAGTCTAAACTTATCATAAGCAGAAAGAAGCAATGATGTGAATAAAAAGAACTAAATAAATTTGAATAAGAGAATTTCTATAATTAGACCTCAACAGCATATGTAATAATTGAAAAAAATACAGTCTTTGTAAAGTATTGAGCAGCTTGATAAGAACAGTGAAATATCTCCACCAAATAAATATATGGTAACTGATGAGGACCTCAAAGGTTCTGTAATATCTATTGATAATTATAATAATATATCAATTCAAATCAACAATGATAGTGAACTGAAAAATAATAAAGATCTAAGAGCCTTCTTTTAAGCTCAAATAATTCGACCTATGATAAACGATTAAGGATATTCTCCAGCCTACGAATCCTTACTTCTTAATGAGAGTTATGATGAAACCTTAAGAAAAAAGCTTAATCAAGTAAGAAGTACTCATGAAATTTAAACAATGGAATAAAAGTCAAGTAGAAATTCAGTACACAAACTAAGAAATAGTGGAGGTTCAGGAGGAATTAAGTATCCCTCTTTTGGAGGAAATGGCTAGGATTTCTCTCAGGTTTAATTCACTGAAAAGTAAGAGTAGTAATTCGTGCCATCTCTTTTGAGATATAACAAATAAAATCTAAATTTAAAGGAAACATCCTCCTCATTAAATGTTTCATCAAATTAAGTAAGCATTGATCCTATCTAAACCTTAATGCAATCTGAGAAGACTATAAAAATAATTAGAACACCCAAAGATTCCTAAAAGAATAAAGGTATATTTGCTGCAGCTTCAAACACTTAATAAGAAGAGCCAATTAGAAAGTAATCTGAAAAGAAAATAGAGACGATTACTATTAAACTCACTTAGCTAAAAGATATTGCACCTTAAGAATAACTATTTGACACTATTGTTGAAGCTAAAGGAGAGTAGGAGCAATCTCCAGCTCGAAAGCTTTCAAAAATTACAAGCTAAATATAATCTCCAGATCTTTTATCACCAAAGCAAAGTGATAGCTAACAGGCGAATAATCAATAAACCCAAAACAGTAAAAACAATACTCTTAGTCTTAATTCTTCACCAGGACTAAATTCACATAGACTGACCGATGGAAATGGAAGAATGATATCGGTAAAATTTGTAGAAAGAGAATTTATAAAACTAATGGACGATAGCATAGATATGGGTAGTGAAAGATTTAACACTCAGAGAGCATCAATTAATGAAAAATAAAGCATTAAATACTAGCATGAATAAGTAGCCAAGTAATTTTCAGACTAAAAACCGAAGCAATCAATCTCAAAAACTTAGAGAGTAACTTTTCAAGAAGAGAATGAAAGGCTATTTCACAGTGCAATGTCACTTAACTCAATACCATCTTAATCTCCCTCTATTGGTACAAATAAATAATCAGAGGCTTCGATTTAAAATCAAAGATAGAAATCAATTTCTAAAACAAGGAGTAGAGTTAGTACAAATGATGTAGTTTAAAGGCTTTATTAAACATCAAGAGCAAGTAAAAGCCCTTTAAGATCTAGTTTAAAGAAAATGGATAGTGAGAATGATCCATTTAAAAGTGGGAAAACAAGTCCTCAAAATTTTTAAACTTTTACCAGTCTTCCTTAATCTGCAAAAAATAAGATCTTTTCTGGACTTAGAGATGATTTCTCACATTAGCTGAGTTTACTAAAAGCTGATTCAAGTCCTGGTCCAACTATGATGAGAAAGATGCCAATTATTGAGAATAAAGAAAAGAAAATAGTAAAATTGATTCTTGATGACGATGATGATGAATAGGAAGAATTAACAATAAAAAATTAGGCTAAAACATATTAAATTAACAGCAATATTACTCCTTCAGATCTTTCATTCTTTGAAAGCTATGACAGCAGAAAGTAATTTTCAGATAAAAAGAAGAAACCCTTATATAAATCAGCAATATCAACAAATCTTACATCACGACCGACAACATAGTTATCAAATTTAACAAAATAACCTCAAATTAAGAAACCATCTATTATCACTGGTGATTCAAGAAGAGCTATTTAAACTTCCAGAAATACTTTAGTAAAGTCATCTAGAGATAATACTCCTGGAACACCTCAAAGTACTGCACTTAAAGCATTAAAGGAGAAAGCGCCATTAACTAAAGTAGGCATAAGAAATAAGCCCGGTCTTTCCAAGTAATCCTCGCAGCAAGATAAATATTTCGAACCTTACTAAGAAAAGAAGAAAATTGAGGGAACAGTAAGTCATTTATAACTTTATCATTTTTTAGAGTGAGAGAAAAATTGTTGCGAATAACAAAAGTAAATTGCTAACTAAATTTTCTCAATCGAAGCTACTTCATTGATCTAATGACATTATAAAACTTATTGAGCATCAACCTAATTTTCCTATATAAATCAATAATCATAATACGCACACAAAATTAAATTATGATCTTATGGGGTTTTGGGGTTTTGGGGTTTTGGGG